CTGCAAGCATAGCCCCAGCTTGCTATCTCTGACGTGTTCCTATCTGCTTCTTCCCCACCTTCACCCCACCTTGCTCTGCATGCACCTTCCTGCAAACATAGCCCCAGCTTGCTACCTTTGATGTGTTCCTATCTGCTTCCTCCCCACCGTCTCCTCTGCCTCCCGCCCTTCCTTTCCAGCTGTAGGTAGTTGAGAAAACCTAACAGATGAAAGGGGTCCTGGTGTGCCACTGTAGAATAAGCACTGGTCTGCTAACTGTAAGGTAGGTGGTTCAAACCCACCAGCCGCTCAGAAACTCTATATGGGGTTGCTATGAGTTGGAAATAACTCAACAGCCCCTTACAACAAATGAGAACATTGGAGCTATTCCGTCCCATGATGCCAAGTGGCTGCTTTCATGCACTCCATGGCTTAAAGATGTGATGTCAGTTAGAGCTGGGGTTTTCCGTCTTTCTGCTCTGCCCGCCTCAGCATGTTGACCTTTGTCCTCATGCCTGCTGCTTCCTGGTTGTGAGAGTGTTCATCCACATTGATTGGTTCAAGGGGAGAAGATGAATGGATGAAACCTCATTCGTCTACTTTTATCAGGAAAACAAATCTTTTTGAGACACGCCTCTGGTCCCCCTTTCCCCCCCCCGAATTATACTTAGGACTGATTGGCTGGAGGGGGTCACATGGCCACTTGTAGCTGCAAAAAACTGGGAGTGGGGGAAAAGCTAGGAATCCGGGACAGGGTTAGAAAGGTTGACTTGGGCTTGGGCAGGTGGCCCCCTAAGTCCCCTGAGGAAAATCAAGTCTAATAGCAGGATGAATAGGAACATGAATATCGGGTAGCAGTCAGTCCCTTATCATTTTTTAAGGCACCTTTTACTCAGCATTGAGCTAAGAGTTTATTTATACCAGGGCAGGGGGGTGCCATCTAAGACTGTTGCTATTACTGGAGTGATTCCTCCCATTTTATAGCAGAGAAAACTCACTTTCGGAGAGGGAATGGGACCTAGCCAGAAGCTGATGAAGGCAGGATCTAGACAGACAGACAGACCTGGCTCTTGGCTGCACCGCTCTCTGCTTTCTCCCTCTGGAGACTAAAGAAACCTGCAGTCCCAGATAATGTTTGTTATTCCTCCTCTCAGAGCTCAGTCCCTTGGGGTTCCTGCTCCCACCCCCACATATGCCCAGGAGACAGGTGTGTTATTATCACCAGGAGCGTCCTGGGTCCACCTGGAGCAGGCTGCTTTACCCGAACTAGGGGCCCTGGGGTTGGACTGCTGACCCCAAGGTCGGCAGTTCTAACCTATCAGCCACTTTTAGGGAGAAAGATGAGACTTTCTGCTCCCCTAAAGATTTATAGCCTTAGAAACCCTGGAAAGGGTGGCTATGTGTTGGAATGGACTTAGTGGTGGTGGGTTTGGGTTGGAGTGGGTACGGCTGGCTTGCTGGGACAGACCCTGCCTCCTTCTCTGTGTCAAGGAGCCTTCTCTGTGGCATTGTTGTTCACTGCAGTATGTCGACCCCTGGTTTAAGGCCCCCAGCTCTCAGACAGAGTAGAACTGCTGTTAAGGTTTCCAAGGAGTAGCTGGTGGGTTTGAACCGATGATCTTAAGGCTAGCAACCCAACACCCAACCCACGGTGGCACCAGGGCTCCTTGGCTCATGACAGGGCTGCTCAGTGGAACAAAATGCTCCATGTTCTGTGCCATCCCTATGACCAGTTGGCGATCAGACATTGTGGCCCCTAGGGTTTCATTGGCTGATTGTCAGGCCTTTGTCCCTACTCTCTTAATCTGGCAGCTCTGAAGAAATCTGCTCAGCAGCATAACAACATACTAACCTAAGTTGCAGTGACTGGGACTCGAACCCAGGTCTTCTGCATGGAAGGCAAGAATTCCACCACTGAGCCCCCACAATATCTTTTACAATAGGTCAGACTTGAGCGTGGCACTCGTTGCTCGTTGTCCTATGGGGACAAGTCCTAGCTGGTGGGAGAAGGGGCCGATTGAAATCAAATTCTACTCTTTTTTTTTTTTTTTGATGCCTTTCTCCCCAAACTTGGGTGTGAAGGATTTCATAATATCAACATTGGCAGTGACCCTTTCTGAAGTTCCCACTGTGGATGGAGCCATCCTTCCTAAACACAGAGCATGAAGCACTGCCCACAGCTAAGGGTTTGACCTCAGGACTGTCTGCCGCTCACTCCCAATGCCGCTGTGGAGCCGGATTCTCCCTGAGCTGGATTCAAACTCATTTACCCTCTTTATTCCTTTGAGCTCCAACTAAGCAACTGATCTGAAGGTTTTTTACTGGCTTATTTTCAGAAGTAGGTCTTTCTTCCTAGAATACTGAATATACGGTGGGCTGGGAAAAGAACAAACTACAGTAAAAGAAACACAACCGGATGTTCCTCAGAAATAAGAATGGGAAAACTTCACCTTACTTCGGACACATATCGAGGGAAAACAATGTCTAGAAAGGGACATCATGTTTAGTAGCGAGCGGGTCCAAGAAAAGATGGAAGCCATCAAACATACCCATCCTCCTACAGATGACGCAGAGCCAGGTGGTGTTTTGCTCTGATACAGTAAGTTCACCCTGAGTTGGAGCTGACTCAATGGCACCTAACAACAACCAGTGCGTAGTGGTTACGAGTCGGGCTGCCAACCACAAGGTCAGCAGTTCGAAACTACCAGTGGTTCCGCAGGAGAAAGATGAGGCGTTCTGCTCCCGTAAAGATTTACAGCCTCGGAAACCCTGTACAGGGTTGCTATGAGTCAGAACTGACTCCACGGCACATAATAACAATAACAACAACAACAACAACAACAACAACAACAACAACAGCACCTGATCACAGGAGAAGAGTTTAGGCACCTCTGCTACCCCTTTATACTCAGTACACCTTTTGACTGTTGAAGAGAAGATGTTTGAGCACATTCACTTATTGAAATTGTGAGCTACAAGGACACTATTGGGAAAACAAGGAATGCTGGTGGTGCCGTGGGTTAAGTGTTGGGCTGCTAGCCACAAGGTTGGCAGTTTGAACCCACCAGCAACCCCATGGGAGAAAGATAAAGTAATTTGCTTTCATCAAGATTGACAGCTCAGAAACCATGGAGCAGTTCCACCTGCACTACGGGGTCATCATGAGTACCAATGGACTCAATGGCGGTGGTTTATAGGGACCATAAAACACCTACACTCGCCCACACTTTGCTTCTAATCTTGGTCAAGGGTTATCAAGTTCTACACCTACCACTTCCTTTCTCAGGATTTTGTTTCCACCTAATACTTAATCCATCCACTTGTCTTCTTTTCCCTACAAATTTTATACTTCATCCGCCCCCCACACCGCCCCGCAAACCTACAGAGCAGTTGCAAAAAGAGACTCACAGATAGCCACCTGCCCTTCCCCTAGATTCACCAATGGTTCATTTTGCTGCATGCATTTGTCCCTGGAAGATAGTTTTATAGCATTTTATCATCTGCTCGGCCATCCTCCCCAGTGTGCCTGTTTAAGCTCTGTCTTCCCTTTGTGAACAAAGTTCTTTTCTTTTCCCTCTTGCTCTGTGGCTGACTTTCCTGGGGCATGCTGCTCAGAGTCAAAGAGTTTCAGCATGACCACACGCTGCCCCATTATTCTCCCTGATCGAACCCATTTGCAGAGCCACCCGCAGCCTTGGGTCTGGATGTTCTCATTTGCTGGCTGGGTGGATGTCTCAGTGTGTGAACTCTCAGGCAGCCTCTGAAGGTCAAGGATGCTGGTCAGAGAGGAAGATGATAACACTGACTAGGAACCAGGTGTCTCCGAGGCTGGGGACTCGGGGGACGGGATGCACCTGGGCCAGCAGGGGCCTTTGTAAGAAGGTAGAGAGGAGGATGCACCAGATCTGGTGATCTACTTCTGAAACACCAGCCACTGAAATCCCCAGGGAGCATAGCACTACTTGGACACACATGGGGTCGACTTGAGTTGGGGTCGGCTAGGTGACAGCAGATTTTGGAGTCTTTGAATGTTGCAAGGAGCCTTGGTGGTTACAGTGGGTTCAAATCTACCATCTGCACTGCAGGAGAAAGACGAGGCAGGCTGTTCTCGTAAAGACTGACATCCTTGGAAACTCTTCTATCCCTGAGCTGGATTCTATCCCATGTACCCTCTTCAGAATCAACTTGGTGGCTGTGGGTTTGGGTTTTGGTTTGGCTGATGCAAACGACTGATGCACTCGGCTGCCCACAGAAAGGTTGGACATTTGGAAGACGGACCTGGAAAGATTTTTTCCCAAACCCTCTAAACACAGTTCTACTCTGATGCATGTGGGCTCGCTTTGAGTCCGAGTCCACTCAAGGGCAACTGCTTTTACCGGTGTTATTTGTGTTGTTGTTGTTAAGTGCTGTCGAGTCCATTCTGACTCAGCGACCCTGTATAGGCTTTCTGAGGAGCAGCTGGTGGGTTTGAACTGCCGACCTTGTGGTTTGCAGTCCAGTGCTGATCCTACAGCGCCACACCAGGAGGATGGTGGTGTTTGTGGACTGGACGGATGGCTTGTCTTTGCTCTCTGTGCTGGAGTTCCTGCCTGGGCCCTGTTGTCATCTCACTGCCATGGAGCTATCTGATGAACTGCTTCTGGGTCCCAGAGAGCAAGGCTACCTTTCTCACCAGGTTTGCGAGCTCTTGAGCTCTCTGTGCTCCCCCTTGGCTAACAGCAGCGCACTTGGAGACTGAGTGTTTGTTTAATCAGGTCCCCAGAGGGCCTAGATCCCCCACAGGGATTCCTCTGAATACCTCTCTCTTGTTTTCTTTTACAGGCAAATGGCATCTTGGGCACCATGGCCTTTATCACCCCAACTTTCGTGGTAAGAATTCTTTGGGGGATCTGTTACCTAGGAGACAGCAAATAAGAATCTCTGTGTAACAGGACTTCATGAATGTTTAAGCTGTCCTGCCCCTGTGGGGAATCCCAGGGTGGGACACTGTGCTAAAAGGGCGGAGGCAGGAATCCACCCCCAGGCACCTCTTGAAGGACAGGGTAATCTGCTTCTGAAAAGCCAGCCAGCGAAAGCCCTGTGGAGCACAGTTCTGCTCAGACACACAGGAGTAGGAGTTGGGTCTCTTTATTTGCGTGACTATGTAGGTGTGTTTAACAAGCTCAGGGGTCCCCTTGACCTCATGCCCCTCTCACCTGGCTCCTTCCTTGGTGCCTGTCCACCTGGTCAAGTCCTCATGGTGGGCCCATCGCTGCTCTCCTGAAGAGAAGACCCGATGAATCTGCTGGGAAGTAACACTGTCTAGCCCTGACCATTGACCCAAACAGGACATGCATTTTCTTGGCTTCTCCCAGCAACCTTTTACTTCCTCAGACCTCTTGTCCACTGGTCTCAGGGAAGCGGACCACAAGGTCAGCAGTTCAAACCCACCAGCTGCTCCTCGGAAACCCTGTACAGGGTGTCTATGAGTTGGAACTGACTCGACGGCACTTAACAACAACAACAACAACAACTGTGAGAGCAGGAAGAGAGAGTGACCAGACTGTCCCTAAGTCCTCGGACTCAGACATTCAGACACACTGAGGTTTCTTGTTTCCTGTCTCCTGGTTAGTTCACTCCTATCCTGTCATGCCCCTTGTTCCCTTCTTATGGTGCCATGTCAGCCTCACGGCTACCTCTAACCTCTCTCTGGATTAGTCATGTCAAACCCAGGCTTACAGCCTGTCTATTCATCCAGACCCTCTTGCTGCCCTTGGTTGTTTGTGAGGTTAGGGCCCCAACCGGTGCAAGGAGGCCTCCTTTTGATTCAGTGGTCTGAGAACATCTGTAACGTTGTTGTTGTTGTTAAGTGCCATAGAGTAGGTTCCGACCCATGGAGACCCTGCATAATATTTCCAGCGAACAGCTGGTGAGCTTGAACTGCCAACCTTGCAGCTCAAACCAACTTGCAGTCCAGCGCATTAACCCACAGCACCACTCCAGACATGGAGGTTGGCAAACTATGGCCCACAGACCCAAAGAGGCCCACTGTCTGTTATTGCAAATAAAGTTTTATAGGAACACAGCTACATTCATTTGTTCAAACGTTGCTGGTGGCTGTCTTTGCACTTTAACAGAGGAGTGGTCTCCACAGTGACCCTCTGGCCTGCAAAACCTAAAACACTCACTTTCTAGCCTTTTATGGAAAGAGTTTGCCGATCCCTGATCTAGACCCATCCTAAGGCTAAATGAAGTCAGGTTCTAGGTCTCTGAATGTGTACCTGTGGGGTATCCACATTTATTGCTGTGAGCCAGCTTAGCCGGGAGCTGCCTGTGTCTCAGCACATTTCCTGGTCATCCCGCACACACTATGTATTGGATTTGCAATGATGAAGTGCAAATCCTAACTCAAAGTGGAAGTCCTGCATTTCCCACTGTAATGACAAGTTCCCAGACTGTGTGAGGGGTATGGATGGAATGGAGGAAGGGGCTGGGTGTGACCCGATGAGGAGCAGGGCAGTTCGGTGGGACACGTAGCTCTAGAACTGACTTCCAAGCATTGATGCATGTTTACCAGGTAGAGAGTGAGGGAAGGCGATTCTAGGCTTTGGAAGGATGGGGGAAATAACGGTGTCTTGGTTCCTTTAGGAAATGTGTGTCGGGGTCTGACCTCAACATAGTTGTGTTGTTCACGAGTGTTTGGTTCACGAGGAGGGGAGATCCAGCGGCGATAGGGATAGCGAAAGAATACACAGACAAACAGAAGAAGGGAGACAATGAGGTACCCCAAAGCCAGGGTGGATACATCACTAGTGGGCAGTCTTGGGACTACAGGCATCATGGCCTCTGCAGGCAGCAACTCACTGCCCTGCAATCTTTACTGCATGCCTTCCAACCCTTCATGCACACCTGGGGAGGCCCGGGGCTCTGCTTTATTCAGGGAGGAGCTTCACATCAAGCTGGGAGGGACTTAGGCAAGGTACAGCTAACATCAGTACTTTTCCAGACATTCAGGTATCTTTACATTGTACTTCGCTGGTTCGAATCCCAGGCCAGCAACTTGGATTCTCAGGCCCAATTAATATATCTATAGCCCCTGAGCTTAGGTGGGGGAAGGTAAGAGATAAGGACAAAAGTTTGGGCGGAGTCCTGCTGCTTCGGCTTCCTGAGCCAGGTCTCGAGAAGCCCAGGTGAATGGGCTGCACCTGGAAAAGGATTAGGGAAGATGGGTTCTTTGTGTAGCTAAGATATTTTTAGTTAATCCTTTTGGAGAAAGGCTTGACCTTGCAACTTTTAGTCTTAGGCCTTAGGAAAATATCACATTTATCTGTGGATTGTCAAAGTCTCCGTGTATTAATTTAATATATATAACTGAATATTAATATGAAAGCAATTTGCTATTAGCTGCCAGTGGCTTCATTTGTTACACTCGGCCCTAGAGGGCCTCGAACCTCTGACTAGTCTTACACAGTCTGCAACAAATGTGTTGTGGAGAGGTCAGAAGGATGGGCAGGGGCAGGCTTGTACCTGTCTACGGGCCTAGAACCAGGGGCCCTTGATCTACAGCAAGTCTCTGGAGGTTCAAATTCTACCCATTGTGTTCGTTGGTGTCAAGTTGTCGAACCCATGTAGGTGTATTTACTCTCTGGTCCTGACCATCTATCTTCTCATCTCTGGGTGTGGCTTCAGTCTACTGTTGTGACCACTCTTGTCTTCCAACCTAGTGACTCACCTTCCAGCACTGTATCAGTGACTGCTTTTCATAAGCGGTTCACCAGACCTTTCTTCCTTGTCTTTCTCAGTCTGGAAGTGCCACTGGAACCTGCTAGTATTTGAAATATTAGTGACATAACACCACACACACACCATCACAGTGTGACAAACTGACACACTGGGAGGTAGAAGTTCTGTCTCTCCTGGGGACATCAAGAGAATTGAATCAATGACCCGGGTAACTGGGGGAGGTGTCCCTTTTCTGTGCATTCTATTTGCAAATGGAACTCTACCCTTGAGGTACCAGCTTGGGTGAAGAAGAGATGGGATGAGGGAGCGTCTCAAAATTCCACACAAGGTGTCCAGGTATCACCTTAGTGTTCACATCCTTTTTTCCCCTGCCTCCATCCCATCACTCCCCAAAACATCCCTCTGAGCTCATGATGAAATGCCATCTCCTTTAAGCACATGTTGAAGTTCCTGCCCCATGCCCTAGCATCAGCAAGTGAAC